TCGCTAATACAGATTAAGACTATGACATGTAATTTTCTTTTAAAAGCTGACCTCAAAAATCTAATTTAATATTTTACACGCAAGTCTAACATGTTAAACACAGAGTTTGCGTATACGCCATGGTGGATGTAAAATATGTGCGCCACATCACACCACATAAATGTTTAATAAAATCAGCTCTCCTGCATATATTCATATGTAAGTGGGTGTTCATATATCACAGCAATGATACATAAACATATACATACTTTTATTCTACGAGTGTATTTACGTACACATACATACTACACATACACACACTTGTAAGCATAAAAGTACAAGTATGGCGCCAATTCTTTCCTTCTCACCATCGTTTTTGATTGAAACCCGCATTCATTTATGTGTCATCACCGGCTGGTGAGCGATCATAATAACAATAACAATAGCAATAGCTATAAATAAAGTAAAAGCTACTACAACAACCAACAACCAAAACCCTATGAATATCAATGGTAAGAAAGCGAATCCACTCACTAGCGAAATTTTTATTTTTGCGAGTTTATTTGAATTTATATGCGCATCTACATGTACAAATTTGCATGTATAATCGTGTTTGCTACCCGCATGTGTTGCATGCAACAAAGCATTGACAAATGATTTATGACGCGTGATTGACATTCGCCATTTATTTGATTGCTGTAACGTCCATTGTGGCAGACGTATGCGAAAAAGTTATGGCTATCGGGACTAGTAAGTGTATTGACTGTGACATCATATACGAGTACATATGTGTGATGTTCCACATTCAGTATATTTTGTGCTTTAACTATTTAAAATCGAATTGTACTTTGAGTACTCTTATGGTCAGGTTATTTTGAAGCTCTCTTCGATTCAATAGGCTTCTAGAAAATATCAATAAAAAATAAATTTAAAATTTTTAAGTAAATTTTTTTCAAGCCCCTACAGAATTGGTTAAAAATTATTTAAAAAAGAAAGTCAGCTGTTTAAAATATTTGCTACATTACACCCTATATTAGTCACATTTTTATAAAAACACCTACTCTGATAAAGCGTTTCAAGTGAGCCTTATTATTTTTATTTCCTTAACAGGGTATATTGAGTTTGCCACAAAGTTTGTGACACCTCAAACGAAACGTAGAAAACGCTATAATATATATATGTAAATGATCAGCAGGACGAGCTGAGTCGATCTAGCCATGTCCGTCTGTCTATCTGTGTGCCCGTCTGACTGTATATACAAGTAGGTGAACTAGTCCCTTAGGTCCTACACGTTCTTTTCTCCACAAGGAGCTCATTATTTGTCGGAACAGCCGATATCGTATCAATTTAGCATATAGCTGGCATTTATAAAATGGAGAAATGTCACTCCAAAGCAGCGATACTAACTCCGAAAAAAATTCTCAAATCGGCCCATTATAACATAGCATATACAATGAAGCTGCCATACAAACTGACCGATCGAAATCAAGTTCTTTTATGGAATCTTTTGTATATGTGGAGGGTATTATAGCTTCGGTGCAACTGAAATCAACATTTTTTCTTGCTTTTTTTATATTAATTTAAAACTTTTGTTAAGGTGGCAATCTTATTAAACTTACATTAAACTACGTGTCCTTTAAAAAATTTAAGCGTTTCTATATATAAAATTTTATATATATATATTATATATATATTATATATATATATATAGAGCTATATTAAAAATTATAATCCGATATATTGAAAATTTTCAGTTTATTATATACATTTTAAAAATACTAATTTTACAAAAAGTAGCAACGCTTAAGAATTAAAAATTTTAATATTAAAAAAAAAAATTTCTTTCTCATCACGTTATTGTGTTGTTGAAATTTTTTATTAAACAATTTTCATTTTACAGCCAAGTAAATGCGACCGTTCATATGGACATATATGGCAACTCTGTACAGCTTATTGTTATGTATTAATACTGCATAATGAAACTAATTAAAATCTTTTATTTACATCAATTACTATACAGGTTATCCATACTATCATATCATATACTTAAATAACAATCCTTGTATAGCAGAAAGCAGAAAAAACAGTAAATTTTTTATAAACGCAAACGATAATAAATATACACATACATATAATATATAAATTAATATATAAATGCATGCAAATAGAATTGATATTGCTTCAGTTTTATTGGCATTCAATTATTTAGTTATTCTTTAAAAGTTTCCAGCAATGAATATGCATAACTGTAAATAATTATTCATACAAAATGTAAAAATGAAGCATTTCGTATAGTGTTTTCCTTGCCATTGTGCTCATATTGTGCTTTTGTGCTTAGTGAAGCTGCAAATTTATTTTATAAATGATAGCAATCATCATCATAGCATAATAAATTACCGTGGCAACTCCCGCCAACACACATGCATACATACAGATAATAGAGCGGGTTGGTTTACAGGGAGCCAAAAAAAACACAGAAAATCGCATATGGGAGAAATGTTCTATGGATCATTCTGAACATATTTGCCTAAGGGTATATGGGTCTAAAATCGGTTTCGAGCCAGCGATTTTTTAAGTGCAGTTTTTTTTCGGGATTATGAAAATTTCTTCGTCAATTTGTGAGATATTCGCATGAAATTTAATACATAGTTGCATTTTGAGATTCTATTGATCATTTGCCGGAATTGGTCAGATCGGACGACTACATCTTATATCTCCAATAACACCGATTATTCAGTTATTTTACTTTCCTTCTGCCTGCCTTTAATAAAAAAGCTAAGAATTCCTAAGTTTGCATTACTGTTCTCTAACAAATACTTAATAATGACCGTGAAAATAAAAAAAATGTACAACTATTTCACATAAAAAAATAAACTTCAAAATCTACTGGCCCGAAATCGGTTTTAGACCCATATTCTCTTAGGCAAAGGTATTAAGAATGATTCGTAAAAAAATCTATCCGCTCTAATTCATAACCATAGATGTGTGTTTGTAAGGGAATGCATGAAGCGAGAATATAAATAAATATAGCAATAAATATACATACGCACACAACAATGGCTGTGCTTGAATGGATATGAATGAATAATAAATGTTCGACAATGCAAAACGCCGTGAAGTATGCAAAACAAAAGGTGCTGATGCTGCTTCAGGTTCACTTGATATCCATTGTGTTTTGTGCATATCGTTTGTCATCGAAATGCGATCAAAAGATGAGTATTACATTTTGACAATTACATGCAAATAAATTCAAATTAAATAATACAGGCATGCAAATGTTGCCACTCTGAAGCCGAGATCATTGTGCTGAAATGGAGAGTAAGCCCTCAGGGGGGTACATCTGTAGTTCAAGGAAAACATTTCGTGGGTCCATTTATACAGGCAAACTGAATCAAAACGCTTTGTAAATAAGCCTGCAGGGGCATACTCAGAATCACGGTCATTATTTTCTTTTTCAAGAGCATTAAGAACGACAATTTTCACAAAAAAAGATTGGTCTTGGAACACCAACCAATAAAGTAAAGATAAAATTGTCCACTATAGTGAAGGTGATAAGACACATTTGCCCTGAAGTCTCACTTTCAAAACCTAAGTGTTTGTCATACATAGTGTTTATGCGTGATCTCTATATGGAAGGCAATAAATTTTGATTAATAGGTAGAAATTCTTAGTCAGCTAATTTCACCGGCCGCTTTTTTGACGAGCATTTCAATTACTTGATAGATTGTTCAAGGTCAGATTCTGTAATGCTCTCATAGAGATAGAGATAGAAATAGGAATATAAATAGAGACGGATATAGGGATAGAAATAGAGAAAGAGTTAGAGGTAGAGATAGAGATAGAGAAAGAAATAGAGATAGAAATAGAGACAGAGATAGGAATAGAGATAGAGATAGAAATAGGGATAGAGATAGAGATAAAGATAAAGATAAAGATAGAGACAAAGATAAAGATAAAGATAGAGAGAGAAATATAGAAATAGAAACGGGGGCAGCTACTTCTAGCTTTAAAATCTATAGATTAAAATATCCATACTTCCATCTAGTTAGACGAAAGACTTATATGCCGGATATCTCGAAATTGCTACCCTAAAGAGTTATATATTGTATGCACAAAAAACGGCGATTTTGTATTGGTTATGAATTAATAAATTAGCTGGAGTTGGCTGGAGTTGGAGATATACAAAATGTGCACCGATTTCTTTACAGTTTCGATACGAAGTCAATATTCCGTCTCTGTTGACACTTCTAGTCTATTTCGATAACTTTCATCGGCGAGCAATTATTTTAGTTTCTAGGAACCTTTCACCACTCGCAAGCATTGAGTATAACATTCGTTGAGAAACAGATCTACTATTTCCTAATAAGTAAAGATTCAGGGACGAAGTAATCTACTTTGCTTCAATTTCTAACAAAATCTAGAATATATCTGTCAAAAATACATACTCTCAGCTTTTTGTCTTAAAATCTCTGCTGCAAATTTTATTCCAATTACATACGCTATCATTGTGCGAACATTTTTCTTAAATAATTATAACGAGACAACTTTTCGAACTAACTGATTAAGAAAGTCATAGCGGGAATTCTTTTAATGTCGCTTTCAATGACAGCTGTCAAGAGTAATATATGAGGGACATCTGAATTGACAGAAACGCATTTAATGACAGCTGTCAGAATTTATTTTAGATAATGAGTTAGTCAAATAGGAAAAGGATGAAATCAGAAAACAAGGTGGTATGAAATTATTTTTTTAAAGGAAAAGCATGTTTGCCACTAACATATTTCAAACAAAATTACTGAACCTGCGTTAAAATAGGCTATCTGTGGTAACATCACTTAAGTACCGCAGAATGAACTTATTCCTATTTATTAATAAATAATTTATATACAAGTATGTAATTATTTAAGTTAAATTGCGGAGTTCATACAAGTACGACCTTTCGCTGCCATCGACCTTTTATATCCCTCATACATATACTACATATTTTATTGACTCATTTGTGTCTAATTCTACAATTCCAGGAACAAACTGCTTTCAAAGATTCTCAGAACAGCCAAAGTATACCGAAGTCAATCCGGGTCAGGACGCCTTATTAACGTGCAAAGTAATCGATAAGCGGGGCACATGTTCATGGCAGAAGGATAACAAGGTAATTTTGTGTTTTGAACAACCTGAGCGGATAGAATATATGCATAAATAAATAAATCTAGTTCACTGCAATAAGTGTCTGCTTGTTAGGTGGTGGGGCAGTCTATCAGCTGCACAACAGCTTACCACTCACTTACCATACCATGTGACCAGTTGAGTTGTTTGTTTCCTGGAAATTATTTGCGCACTCTTATGCATTCTTGCACACATATTTGACAAACTTTTACAAAGTGTTCACATATAAAAGTGCCGCAACCGCAACGGAACAATAAAGCATAATTTGTTAACCACTATTGTGCCACCGAGCAAAAGTGACACGTGACAAAAAAAATCGTTTTGTTGAAGGCACATCTTCGCGTATTTAAATAACGTTTATATTTTTTATGGTTAAATTTAAGTAATTCTACTTTATGTCACTTTTTGTGAAATCCACGAAAATCAAGTATTATTTAAATTTTTTTTAATACCCAGAACAGAGTATGGGTAGGTCCTAAGTTTGCCACGAAGTTTATAAGGCCCTAAAATACATATAAAATGTGTATATAAATAATTAGCGTGACAAGGTGAGCCGATTTAGCCATGTCCGTCTGTATATACGCGTACTAGTCCCTCAGTTTTAGAGATGTCGATCTGAAATCGATCGGCTCAAGACTACTGCTAGTCCCAAATGCCTAAAGCATAATTTCAAACTAAGGTTAATATGAAAGATATTTTAACAAAATTAAGTGAACGAATAATATTGGATATAGTTTTAATGTCGAGAATGCGTGAAATCGGTTCACGAATTACCCAAGCTCCTATATGCTACAGTTTTAATTATTCTAGTGTGTGGATTTTCTTCAACAAATTTCCCAGAAATGGTTGCATATTTCTAGGAGCTGTATTACGAATTGCTTTCGATGCACTTGCAGCTTAACGTTCCCTTTTCGAAAATGTTGTGTAATCAGACTACTAAAATTAATAGACGAATTAGATATTAGAACCCTTTAAACAGATAATTTTCTTCAAATTTTCAAGTAGTTAATATATATTACTGGAATATATGATTTTCAATTCAAAACTCTATGCTATACTACTGTTATATATGGAAAAAATTTGATACCATAATTGTATACAGAAATATTACAAGCTACCGATTTTGGGACTGCTAGTATCTAGCTGTAAATATATTTTAACTTGCGTGTATAAAAATATATTTTCTAGTTAAAAAAAGTTATTACTTTTATCATAGCTGGTTTCAAAAATTACAAACAAGCAATTATAATAATAATAGCGGTACAAACTATCATTTGTAGTATATATAACATATGTACATTGATACCAAAATGCCTATGCGCTCAAAAGGACAACACATACATATGTACATAAAATGTACACAGTTGGCTAGAAGTCATAACAATCATCATAATAATGAAAACTTGTCCAAATTAAGTTCAGCTGTTGTAGCAGCAAAAATCGTAACCAGAAAAACAAGAAGTAACAATGTAACTATTATGCCTTTACACACACACCTACACATGCGCATGTTGATTTTGATTATTCATTTTGACACGATATATTATTTCTGCAGGCAAATAAAATAAGATCTGCATAAATTTGACACTCAGGTGTGTATGAGTATATCAATATACGTTATGTAAATAAATACACCGCATGTGTTTATATAAGCCATTTATATACCAAGAAAAATATGCCGTATCTTTGATGATGCAAGCGCATGAATATAGCAGAGTTTAAAGGCTCACTTGAACAACGGTTCACACTACTTCACTCCGATTCCTGTTCATACGTAGCCATAGCCGGCACAGAGACAGGTCGTATGAGTATTTTGGGAAATACATTTCATATGAGTTCTTAACACAGCGGCAACTCAACGCCAATGAAGTTCGTACACGTTCTCCATTCAGTTTCGAATGCATAACGGTAATGTACATAGTATGTAACCTTGCAGACTATTTGTTTTGTGTCACAGTTACTATGTACATTTGTGGCCACTGTTGACCATTGCATTATTGACATGGAGAACGAAACAATGGCATTACATGTAGGGAGATGTTATATGGTGTAATGAGAAAAAAACAATACAAATGAGATAATATGACTTTAAATATTAGAACGGAACGATATATTTTCTATAAAATCGCATATGCGGGAAATGTGCTACAAATCAGTCTGAACAACTTTGCCGAAGAGAATGTGGATCTAAAACCGGTTTCGAGGCAGCAATTTTTATGTTTAGCTCTTATTCATTCTACAACTTTGTTCGTCAGTTTTTGAAATATCCGAATGAAATTTAATACATATGTGCGTTTTGACCTTAACTTGATCATTTTTTGGAATCGGCGAGATCGGATAGCTATATCACATATTTACCATACAACCAATTATTCATATTTTCCGGTATCCTACCTTTAATTACTACATACTTAACCAGTGAAAATAAAGAAAATCTACCAGCTATAACATATGCCTATATCCCTTTAAAACAAGATTAATTAGGAATGCTGTGTGGACAGCTTAGAACACTGGCCCATTGTGATGCCAACAACTCTAAGTAAGGATCATTAACAGTAAGTCTTATGTGTGTATATCTTAATTTATATATAAATGATTAGCCTGACGCGCTGACTCTATTTAGCCATGTCCGTCTGTATATACATGAACTAGTTCTTAGGCTTTTGAGATATCCATCTGAAATTTTGCACACGTCCTTTATTTCTCAAAAGTGCTGCTAATTTATCGAATCGCCGATATTAGATTACTATAACGTATAGCTGTTGCACAAACTGATCGATCAATATTAAGATAAAGAACTAGTTCCTGAGTTTATAAGATATCGATCTGAAATTTTGCTTACTGCCTTTTCCACCCAAACAGCTGCCCATTTGTCGGAACCACTAATATCGGATCACTATGGCATATATAATACTTTCCATAGAAACTGAATGATCCGAATCAAGTGCTTGTACAACAACCTTTTTTATATGACGAGATATCTTCAAGATATTTGGCATAGATTATTTTCTAAAGCAACACTGCAATTTCCGAAAGAATTGTTCAGATCGCACAATTATACAATAAAGCTCTAATACAAACTAATCGTCCAGTCGTTTTATGGCATACTTTTGTTTTTGACTAGATATCTTCAAGAAATTTAACAAAGGCTATTGTCTAAGATGGCAGTGCAATCTATGAAAAAATTCACTAAAGCATATAGAAGACATACAAACTGATCGATAAAAATCAAGTCCTTGTAAGGAATCTGCCGAAGTTTACGTTCTTTCTTGTTTTTAATCTCAATTTAAACTGCAAGATTATTTCTAAACATAAAATAGTCAAGTATCAAATTTGCGATTTCATTAACAGATAGTAAACATTCCTTAATATGATATATGATATCCATTTAGCAGCCTAAATATTCAGTGACTACCCCTACTACCTAATAATCAAACGATATTCTCATTTTGTTTCTTCAACTTTCCGACGTACTGAATCCGCCAGTCTGCAAGAGTCGTTTTCTTCGCTGCCAAAGTATTTAAACTGCAGTCGAAATAATAGCATTTTTTCTCTTTAATATTATAGCTGCAATCGAAAATTTTGCCTAAAGATTCAGAACAAAGGTAGATCACAATATATTTGCTTTCGAAATCAGTATTTTTAACTACACACATCCACTCAGCCAACCATTGTAATTGCGCCCAGCTAAGCATAAATTCTCTTAGCACATCTTGTCACATGTACTCGGTTGTGGTAGTATGTGAAGATGCCTACAACAGATTGCCTTCAAGTGCAGACGGTGTTTTGATTTCTAATTCTTAACAATTTTTCAAATACAAAATATATACACATATACACCTATACGTACTTCATAGGACATATGTTTGTGTTGTGAACATGTTGTCTGTTATTCTACTCACACACACCCATACACACGCATTCCGTTTCCATAACAGTGAATTTTCTGTTATTTTATGCTTGTTCTTATTACAGCTTGTGTTGTTCTAACATTGAAGTGACACTCGTACAGTTGCAACTTGTGTTATAATGGCACAGCAAAACAATAACTATGAGTATTTATGTATATGCTAGGGTGGGCGTTGTTTCCTGATGATTGTTTTTCTCGAACGCACCGAACGCAGCTTTTGGCCTAAAAATAGGAATATAACGTTAACAAGCTCTTATTTTCAATTTAAACCGTGAATAAATTCTACTTAATTTCCCACGTATATAACATGAGATTTTTTGATATTCTGCTTTAAGCAAGTAAATCTACAACTTTTAAAAAATTATATTCTAGTACAACATGTTACGCTCCACACAAAATCTCTAAGTGATTTTTTCATAAAATTATTTCTTTAAAAGTTATACGCAGTTAAAGTTGTATTAAAGTTATTTAAATGACCCAAGCATTCTGGGTTGCTCATAAGACATGGTGTACATACTGTACATAATCTTTAAATTGAAAACAAAGAGCTTGTGTACATTGTATCGTCTTTTTTAAAGAAAAAACTGTGACTTCAGGGGGCATTTGTAAAAAAATATCAAGTTGGGGAATAACGTGCACCCTAATATAATATATACACTCACATACAAATATACTTACCACCGTCATGTAGGGTTACAGCTCTGCACTTGCTTACTAAAAATGCATTTATGCCCGTGCGGTTGTGTTAACGTGGGAGCATGCATATGTATGTGTCACTCTAGTGTTCACGCCAAGTGCCCCTGTTTGCAATAACTGTCACCTCAACTGCCACTTTGTTGCCATACACAAGTGACAGCAAAAGAAATTTAAAAGGATTTCGGACATTTTTCATTGCAGCAAGTGGTGAATTTGAGTTTCTTTGTGTTTGAAACTTATATTTTGGCTAAAAGGTAGAGATTCATTTTTTTCTCTAATAAACTCACAATTCAGTAGATATGTTGTTAACTGAATAACAAGCAGATAATATAATATATAGTTTTAAACAGTTAGTTTTAAAAGTTAAAACGAAATTGGAG